TTCAGCTTTTTTTCAGCAAGTCGTCTGAAGACTACCATGTATGATGACACGAGATTCTCGTTTTGCGCTTCTACAAGTGCAAGATTTGCAATGAAGTTGGTTACTGCCTTCATTTCGACGGCGAGCTTCCAATTGTCGGCCGTTAGAGCTGTCCACACGGTACTTGTATCTTTGCCGGACTGAAAAAACGCCTGGAATGCCGCATAGTTTACTACTGGCCTACGGATTAATTTGCAGGTGTAGGCGACTCGAACGTCCTGGTCGGTCATGGGCTCGAGCTCTGGATAGGACAGAGCCTCCTGGATTTTCTTCAATGCCGCGCGCTGTTTGGCTGATCTGAAGTGGTTGTTCAGATTGCGAAGCTTCCGAATCACGTTTCCACCCTCCTCAAGAGCTCCTCCAGGCGTAACTATCTTGACTACTTTGTCCCAGGAAGTAGTAGAGTCGTTCCATACAGTGACGGTCTGAATATTGTCTTTTAGTCCGATTCCGTATCCAATGCACAGGTTTAGTGTAATGGGCCCCTCCATTACATAAGTAGGTAGATTTCTTTACAAAAGTAGGTGCATCAGCACACGCTAGTCGTGTGCTGAAATGCTGTCATGCCATTAGCTGATATTTGGGGAGCCAGACCCATTATTAGCCAATTGGACTATGCCGTGTATTTGAGTGGCCAGGGCTGTGGCCTTGGTCCTAAAAAATAGTCAGAGTTGATTTTTTTCTTAAACCTAAGACTCAGTCGTCCTATTGCGAGCTTCCTCAACACTATAGTGTAAGAAAGTAACGGAGTAAATACCTGGCCCGTTATACCTGGTAGCACTTCGTAGTCTTCCAACGACCAAGTTCGACATGAGCCAAGACCTCGACCCCGCTGCCTTTCTCCATCTCACTCGGATCGAGTGGGAAGCTCTCCACCGCCTCGCGGCGGTGTCCGGAGAAGCCGTCGTCACGTCGCTGCTGCGCTCAGCGACGCCCCGACGAGCAGCGCGTGGCGGGCACAAGAAATCATGGAACGCGAGCTCGCGGATGCAAATCGGCGAGTGTCAACTTTCCTCGCGTATCTCCCCGAATGACGTCGTGAAGCTAAAGACGTCCCACCTACTTCGGCGCCCGGAGAAGAATCGACTTCCGCTGAAACCACTGGTTTCGAAAATCAACATCGCAATCCACCTCGAGTTGATC